TGCATGTATGTAAGTGCACCTGGGCCATGCAATTCCTATGAAGGTCAGTCAGAAGAGAGTGTCAGATCTCTGGTTGTTAGCCGCCCAGAACTGAATCCGGGTCCCCTACAAGAGCAGCCAGTGCTCTTACCCACTGCACCATCACCCCAGCCCCTCCCTTCACACTGTAAACTAGAGCGTATTTTCTTTCTCTTCTGACTTGGTGGTTGCATTGAAGTAAAAGTGTTGAGCTGTATAAACGCTGTAGAGTGAACTCCCAGCCTGTTTGGTCTGTGAGTTTATGGTTTTAGCACTAAACTCTCCCATGTCAGGAGTCCTAGACAATCAGGGATTCTAAGCAGTGTGGAAAATAGGATCAAATTCAGGACCACAAACTAACAGTCTACAGAGTGGGCTAGGGATATAGCTCAGTGGTAAAGTGTTTGTCTAGCATGAAAGTTCTTCCGCCCAGCAAAACCCGACGTCTCTCAGGCAGTGTCATTGACACCCAAGGGCTGGCTTTTCTGAGTAACTTCCAAACTGGACCATGAGGCTCCTTGAGGGTGAGGAGCTGGACTGCTTGCCTTTGCATTTCTCCTGACGGCTTGTTGTGATTCTCTTATTGCTTCTTTTCTCAAGGGAGAGTTATTTCCCAGAGCAGACCCAAGAGTCCCCCACCTTGCTGCCAATCACTCCAAAGATCGTGCTCTGTTTTCCAGCCCTGCTGTCTTTCTGCCAATGGGGCTTCATTTGCCTGTTAGCAGTGAGCTGTTGCTCTGCCCCCTACCCCCAAGACTGGGGAGAACTTTCCTAAGGGTTCCTATATTGACCCCCAGAGTTTCTTGGTGGTTTACATTAGCCCTGAAGGAAGGAAATCAAGTCTGTCTTCCCCAGGACAGCCTTTGGGTCCTGGAGATGACAGCTGGTCTCCTGGGGACGTGCCACCTGCTCCCCGGAATGCCTAGGCACAAACAACTGAATTTCCTACCGTGTAGCGTTGTGACCCTGCTGACCAGCATCGTCTGTATTCATTATTGGTGCCCTCAGGCAAGTTACACACGTTTTCTCACCTTTTTTGCTACCTGGCAACATGCACCTGAGATGTGGGGTGAGGTGGCCATTTGTAAATGGAGGGAAAATGAATCTCGAAGAGTGAGCTCTCCTGCTTATTTAAGGAGGAGGGAATGTATAAAGAACAGATTCCGTTCCCCCACTTCCCATCTCCTCCCCCCTTGATGCGATGCCTTTTCACTAAGCTATACACCGAAGCTGCAGGTCGTGATGTTAGTGAGGGCTGGTTAGTTAGGGTACCCTCCCTGTACTGCCCCAGGGCCACCTCGTGCCAGAACTGGGCTGGGCCTTGGAGTTCGGGCTCACAGTGGAGGCAGCACCCTTAATTAGCTTCAGGGATGGGCAGTGGGGATTTCAAGTGCAGGACGAGATCACCTTCAGCAGGGAAAGTGACAAGGAGTGAGGTGTGGCAGGCTTGGGAGGAGCCGGAAAGGCAGACACTGGGGAGACGGGAAGGGTCTCCTAGGACGCTGGAAGAGGCCCAGCATCTTCTCCTCTGGTGAGGGGGGCGCATGGGCAGAAGAACGCGATGCCGCAGAAGCACCATGACTGTGACAACGATTTCATCCTGTTGAAACACTCGCCTTACTTTCTGCTATGTTTACGCACGTACTGAACACCCACCCACCATCTTTGATTGGCTTATGTGCCGGCAACGAGAGCTACGTGAGGCTGAGCCGAGCCAGAGCCACGCTAGCGCTCTAGTTCAGGCCCTACTAGGCGTTTGCAGAGCCATGGCCCCCAACAGCATGCAGCCCTCCCACCACCTTTGATGGTTTATGATTGGACTTCCTTAACCAGCTGGGAAGGAAGGCTCCGAGAATTGATGGGATAACTTACCAACTAAGGGCACCTGAAGGGGACCAGTTAGAAAGAAACAGCGTGAGGGAGAAGGAGCATATGCTTCCCTTGTCGGAAGCTCGTAAGTCATGGTGCACAGAAGAGGGAACAAGGTTTCCAGATGAAGTAAATGGGTATGAAGCTGACAAGAGCCCTCTGGTTGGCTTGCAGGAAGGAGAGCTGAGTCCTTAGAAAACTATCAACTGGGTTTAATCCCAGTACTTGGGAATTAGAAGCAGAGGATGGCCAGGCCATCATTGGGGTCATAGTGGTTCTGAGACCAGTGCGGGCTTTTTTTAAACCCTTTTTTTAAAAAAAAAAAAAAAAATCAAACCAGGCCAGGAGTGGTGGCACACAACTTTAATTCCAGCACTCGGGAAGCAGAGGCAGGTGGAGTTCTGTGAGTTCGAGGCCAGCGTGGTCTACATAGCGAGTTCCAGGCCAAGTAGGCTACAAAGTGAAACCCTGTTTCAAAAAACCAAAATCAAACCACCCAGACAACCCCTGCCCCCAGATGTTATTTACATCCTACCAAAGGGACAGGAATCGTAAAAATTACATTCACATTTTCAGTCATGTTGGTTATAAGCACATAGTTCTTACCTACCTCTAGAAAGAGTTCGTGTTATCTAACCTCGAGTTCAAAAAATAATGTAGTTAGAAAACATTTTTTAAAAAGTGATCAACACCAACTTAGTGTCAGGAACAGCTAATTATAAAACGCACCCTGGATAAAACTAGATGCTGGTTTTACCTTTGAGTTTCTTGGAGGCCACAGAGAGAAGGTACACTACGCAGGGCTCACACAGTTCACAAGGGAAACAAGCAATCCGAACGGAAAGCCAAACTGCCTCTCCTACACCGAGCTTGAATCTCTGCTGTGTGGTGCTATGTGTGGAGTTTAGGGGGATTTGAGACATCACCCAATCCTGTTCCCTCATCTTTCAGGTGCGCAGGTGGAGGTCAGAAGTGGAAGGTCACAGGCATCAGAACTGGGCTTTCTCTTCTCATCATGCACAGCCATCCTGATGTGTTGACCTGCTGTCTCCACCATGACTGTGATCAGATGTAAAAACTCACCTCCTGCTTCATCCTGTCCCTGGAGTTACAATCCCTCTGGATGGACTCAGACTTAGGGGTGGATGTGAGGCAGGGCTCTTGGGCAGGTCTCAGGCTCATCTTTGGCAGTGGTCTCCATGTGCTCAGGCCCTTTGCAGGCTCTGGCCCCTCCTCGCTCTCTGAACTGTCTAGGGCTCTTCCACCGAGGCTCAAGTTTCTGCTTGAGTCCCTGCCTGGGATGGGGCTGATATTGGCCATGGTGATAGGAAAGGGCTTGGTGACAGCTTGAGGCAAGGCAGGCTTGGCCGGGCTTCTTTCTCCCAGTCCCCCAGAGTGGGCTGTCTGCAGAGTCCGGGGGCTGCCATCTTGGTGGGAGGACGTGGTCCTTTCTGTGGTGGCACTGAAGTACAGTGATGTGCTCTCCTGTTCTGCCTTGCCCCTCAGCTGTGCACCCACATCTTTCCCCTGAGTTGCAGGGCCAGCCTGGGACCCGTCCTTTGGGCTGCTTTCCTCCTGTGGAGCTGGTGGCCCCCGGGTAGGTGGACAGTCCTGATTCTCGCTGCCAAAAGAGACATAACTGGAAGTTTCCAATGACTCCACCTCGGCCTTCGGAGCACCTGTAAACTCCGAGTATTTCTCCAAGGTCGACGGGTCATCAGGGGAGGAGAGGGGACCTTGCGGGGAAAACACAGGCTTCCGTGGCAGATTACAGTGTTGACTAAACCCCCACACAGGGGAGCCTGGGCAGACAGGACAATCACCTCCGAAGGCTGCACTGATCTTAGATACACTTCCTGTTTTCAGGGCAAGTTTCACCAAGAGCCAGTGGTGGTGGCTGAAGAAAGAGTTGTCCCTAGACCTCTGGTCCCCGAGCACCACCTCTGGAGGGCTCTGCTCTGGGCTGGGGGGCTTGTCTAGACTTGTTAGCTCATAGCTTTCCTCCTGGTACCAGCTCAGGCTCTTGGGCCTCTCTGCTGCCCGGACCACAGTCCTGGGAGGAGATTCTTCCTTAGCATCGTCGAGCTCCACAGGGCCACAACACTTCCTCATGAAGCCCTGCCGGATGTCTGTGGATTTTGGATGTAGCAAGCTGTAATACATAACCAGTGAGACGCTGCCTGAAAAAGAAAAAATAAAAATATAACCAAAAGAAGGCCATGAGGCTTTGGCTCTGTGTGCTCTGCACCCTCCCTGTGTGTGGCAGGGCCTGGGACCATTCCGAGGACAGCAATATCACTTGACTTAAAAGACTGTTCTGTGGACTCTCCGAACCAGACATTTTCAGGGGATCTTAAATAGGCCCCAGCTTCTAACAATTAGAAATGTCTCTGAACTTAATATATAATAAGGCTTCAGACATGTTGAGTCTGGCTTTTTCCCTCAAGGCAGTGCTCATGGGCACTGTGTGTGTGTGTGTGTGTGTTTGGGTATGGGTATGTTCATGTGTGCATCAATTGCATGGTAGCAAGCTCATTCAACCATCAGTACTCTGGGTCAAACACTTAAAACCCCACCATCAGCACTGTGTGGATGGATGCCAGAGCTGGGGGAGGGAGGAGGTAAGGATCAGCCTTGAAAACAAGAGGCCACAGCAGAGGTCAGCCCCCATTCCTCAGAAGCCCCATCAAGGCATTTCCACGAACAACAACACCACTTCCTTTGTGCACAAACATCTTAATCACGTTGTTGTCCGTTTCATTTAGGTCCATCAGAAGTGTTGACTGCTTCAGTAATCTCTTTAGCAGAGCCTTCCAGTAAGCCACCCACGGTTTCCAGCTTCCTGTCACACTGGGGAAAGTGCCTGGGTTTAGGGTGCTCCCTGTATGGACAACTGGAGACTTGAAATGTGGGGAGGAGTCTCAGGGCACCAGGAGAACCTCTGTTGTCTCTTGGGGTAATGGCAGGCCCAGGGTGGAGCACTGGCTGTGGTAGGATTGGAACCCAGGACAAGGGCCAGCATTCCTATGCGGTCTATCATCTCTGCAGCAGGCTCTGTGCACACACTGGTTTTTACACACTGCTTTGGATTCTTCACCAGCCCTGGGAGGTACATATGGTCACTCATCTTTTACAGTGAACCACCCAAGGCCAGGAGAGACCAACTTAGCCAGCCGACAATCCTGAGCACACTGGATTTCTGAGGGACCTGGACACCTGCTGGGCTCGTGGCTGTAGCTCCAGTCTGGCATACAGTAGATGGTGGATACATGTTTGTCCAGAAAAAGGAGGAAATGGGGAGCCTAGATTTGGGCAGGAACTGCCTATTTTCAAGCCTGGGCTCTGTGAGCTACAATTCTTTTTTATTTTTTAATTTATTTGTTTTCTTGAGACAGGGTCTTGTCATATAGCCTAAGCTGGCCTCAAACTGTGGCAACTCTCTAGCCTTAGCTGAGTGGTAGATTGCAGTTGTGAGCCATCATAACTGGCTTGCATATTTCATTAACTTACTACAGTGCTGGGGACTGAACCCAGGGCCTCTTGTATGGTAGCCAGGCACTCTGCCACTGGGCTCTAGCCACAGCTTTTCTATATTTCTAGAGGATGAGGGAGAGACTGCCACCTTTTCTTGTTCACTTTTTTTTTTTTTTTTTAAAGACAGGGTCTTTCTGTTTATTCTAGGCTAGCCTCAAGCTCACTTTGCAGCCCATGCTGGCCTGGACTGACATCACTTTCCTGCTTCAGCCTCCCAAGTCCTGGGACTGTAAGTGTGAGCCACCATGTCTGGCACAAACACATTTTGATTTCAAACACATATGAGATATAATTTAATTTTTGATAATGCCTGAGCTTACTAACTGTCTCACATTTACTTATTTATTTCTCTTTTCTGTCATACTCTTCCTGCCTGGGATTCCCAAGATGGCCAAATGGAACTAGAGCTTTGTCCTGTGGGTGCAGGGACAGTAGATCATCCAACCCCGTCTGAGAGGAGTGAGTGTTTTTAACTTCGGGTGCTCGCAGGAAGATCATACCTCCTGTGAACTAGAAAAGGTGAAGTCTCCCAGCTTCACACCATGTTACAGAGCCCCTCTCTGCAGGAAGATAACTGGGCACACGCCAGGAACACCTAGGACTAGAGCTTTGTCCTGTGGGTGCAGGGACAGTAGATCATCCAACCCCGTCTGAGAGGAGTGAGTGTTTTTAACTTCGGGTGCTTGCAGGAAGATCATACCTCCTGTGAACTAGAAAAGGTGAAGTCTCCCAGCTTCACACCATGTCACAGAGCCCCTCTCTGCAGGAAGATAACTGGGCACACGCCAGAAACACCTAGACCAACTTGCAGGAAAGCCGGGTGTCACACCTGTACAGAGCCCCAGGGAGAGGCAGACAGGTGCAGCATTCTGGACAGACGTGGTTGCCTCCAGCTGTGCTTGGCATGGCTGGCAGTCACTCCAGGTAGACAAGGCCAAGTGCAGGTCTCATGCCATGGAGGACTGCCTCCACACCACAGCCGGGTCTCTGCTCCCCAGCTCACTGCTCCTAAGCTGTTCCCTCTCCTTCCAGTTCGTTTAACAAACACACATGGGGGCTGAGGAGACGGCTTGGTGGATCAGGTACTTGTTGCACAAGCAGGATCACCTGAGTTTGGATCTCAGGAACCTGTGTGACAAGCCAGGGAGGCGTGGTGGCTGCCTGTAATCCCTGAACTTGGGAGGCAGAGACGGGGCGTGTGGGGGGTGGGGTGTGTGTGTGTGGATCCTCAAGGCAAGCTGGCCACCTAGATCAGTGGGAATCGGTGTGCTTTGGGTTCAATGAGAGACCCTGCTTCAATAAAAAAGTGAAAAGTGGTCAAGGAGGGCATCGAATACCAACTTCAGGTCTCCACACACATGGGCACCTGCACACACACGCACACCCTCACTCATGCCAACATGTGTAAACACAAACATACCATGCACACAGAAGCATTAGAAACAAAAATAAATATAAATAATAAATAAATAAATAAGAGGAGGAGCCTTGGCTAAGGCACAGTGAATGGTCTTACCAATTAGAAACCCAGACAAGACCCCTGCCACAGTCCAGAGGCTGGTCCACGGTGCCCCCTGGAGGAAGTCAGTAGCCAACAGTACAAGGACGGTGTTCTCCAGCAGCATGACCTGTGGGGCCAGGAGAGTGTCACCAAACCTGCTGGAGGCACATGGCTCCCTGTCCCGCCACCTGCTACTCTTCCTTCAGTCTGGGTTCACAAGCCAAGGAGCCTGGACCAAGGCCCCATCAGGAGCATGTCTGCAAAGGGAGGTTTTGCTTGTGTGGCTCATGAAGGTGTCCATGGACCACAAACACAGCCAGAAGGGCAGCACCTCGGCACAAGCGATTCTGTCCACCCCCACACCAGACAGCTGACAGATCCCAGCCAGCTTCTGACAGCTCAAGGCCGTGTCTCCAGAAGGAGAACACAGCCCCTGAACTTCCTATCCGAGAAGCTCAAAGCTGCCAAGCAAATCCTGATGAGAGACTACTGGGGCCCACACACTCTTACAGCAGCTGTGTTAGAAAGCTTGTAGCTGTAAATGCACTCTGCCCTTTCAGACATGGCTCTCCCATCCCATCCCTGTAACTATCTTTTGAAGGACGAGAGAGCATCTCTTTGAAACACAGTCATTCAAGGGGCTCACTCTTTCAACCCTTTGGTCTCTACATTGAGGGACCCCTGCCTCCTGCCATTCATAAAGATACAGAACATTTGTTCCTGTTTCTGACAACTTCAATTAAACCAGAACAGTCACTGACAATCTCCTCTCTCACTTTTTGTACATTTCCCTCTCCCTGCTGCTACTGGAACCCTCCTTCCCCCACCTGCCCACCCTCCTTTTCCCTGTAGAATTCCCCAACACTGCTATACAAATCAGAGTTCAGTTCCCAGGGACCCTGTTCCTATCGCTATAGACCAAAGGCGGTTGTGTGTCTCCTTTGTCTTTCTTTGGTCTCTGGATTTCTCTCACCTCTCTGCCTCCAGCTCCAGTGTCATTTAAAAAAAATGAATTTAGAGGGCCAGAGAGATGGCTCAGCGGTTAAGAACACTGGTTGTTCTTGCAGAAGACCCGGGTTCGAATCCCAGCACCCACATGGCAGCTGACAACTGTCCGTAACTCCAGTCCCGGGGGATCCGACAGCCTCTTCTGACCTCTGCGGGCATTGCACGACATGGGTGCACTTACCTACATTCAGGCAATACAAACATACACATAAAATGAAAATAATAAATAAAATTTTATAAAAGAATTTATAATTTTTATTTTATGTGTATGCGTATATTGCCTGAATGTGTGTAAGTGCACCCGTGTCATGCAGTGCCTGCTGAAATCAGAAGAGGGCATCGGATCCCCTGGAGCTGGAGTTAACGGACAGTTGTTAGCAGTCATGTGGGTGCTGGAAATGGAACCCGGGTCCTCTGCAAGGGCAACAAGTGCTCTTAACCACTGAACCACCTTTCCAGTGCCCCAGTGTCACTTTTGCAAGACTTTCCCTGACTACCCAGCCCTGGCCCTCTCCCTGCCTCTGTGTTCCCCTAGAACTCTGAAAATATTGCTCGTCTGATCACAGCAGCTGTGCTGAGATCTGTGAAAACAGAGGGCTGGTTTTCTCACACACTAACCTTGAGTTCATTTCCAGTGTGTTTGAGGCTGTGTGCATTCTGAGGTGAATATAAGCTTCATATTCACCTTTTACAGATCTGTTTCTGCCTCTGAAGAAAAGGGCTAAGCCCAGGCAGGTAGCTCCCAAAGGAGGTGGACTGGCAACGCTGCCTGAAGCTGTCTCCCAAACAGTAACTGCCAGGCCCTGTGGGGATGGGCCTGGGTGGCTCCACTTTGGAAACGTCCCCAAGTGCATCTGCCAACCAGCCTGCTGAGGAGTGGCCTCACCTGAAGCCCCTGATGAGGTGGCCGCAGCTGGATATTAGACTACTATGTTCAAAGCATGACATCACTGCATAGAACTTCTCCTTACCCTAGCTATTGCTCTATGTGTGTGTGTATGTTTATGTACATGATGCATGGGAGTATGTGGGTACATGTGCCTAGTGCAGTGCACAGTTGGGAGGAACCCAGAGTAGATCAGGTGTCTTTTTCATTGTCTACCTGAGTGCCTTGAGACAGGGTCTCTCACCAAGCTGGGAGCTGTCTGTCTTCAACCCCCAATGCTGGGGTTCCAGGCATGGGCACTTCCCACTCAAAGTGCTCCTACTCACCGAGTCAATTCCCCAGCCCTATATTCCTTTAGTAGATGTGCACCTCCCACCTCACATGCTGTAGGTATTGTAAAAGTCAGGATCAAAGAAAACCACATGGCCACTTGCCAGGTAGAAGCTGGCCATCCTGCTTCTGGAAGGGCTGTCCCAGAAGTTGAGGTAGCAGAGGATGAGCACGGCTCCCACCAGCAGGTTGAACAGCCTCCAGCGGCACGTGCTCTCCACAATGTCGCTCTGCTGGGCTACAAGCCAGAAGGTCATCACCAGCCAGTGGGCACCTGGAGAGAGTATGGAGCGGAAGTCAGTGTCCAGTGGGAAATGCAGAGGGGGTGGGGTTAGAATTGAGCATCCCAGAGGGGCTATCAAAACTGGGAGGAGAACCGAGGGGCACAGGAGGCCACTCATGGTATCCCTGCCTGGCTTATCTCCATTGAGCCTCGCAGTGGGCATCTGACCTACTTTGGAGATGAGAACAGACTAGCATCAGTGACATGTACCAGGCCTTGCGTACTGATGCCCTTCTGCTTCTAGAAAGCGTCTAAAGAGGTCATTCTAAAGTTGTCTGCTCCCTCTAAATTGTTGCTGTGGAAGCCCAAGTCCTCCACATCCAGAGAAGAGCTCCATGAGGCCCAACCAGAGGTTTTACTCTCATATTTTAAGATGAATAATATCATTCTAGAGCACCAATTGGATTTTACAATGATGGATAAAATGCAGTTAATTTCTCTTTAGGAACACAGCTTTCCCCCAACCCCCTTCAAAAAAATGTTCTTTTCTGCCAGTAACTATTAAACATTTGCTCTGGGCCCAAGGGCCAACTATTTCTCAATGTCCCCAGTTCTCCTCAAACAAGAGTACACTGTTCCTTCCTGCAGAGTGTATTCACTGATGACCAGGAGACCGCTGTCCTTGGCAGGGACACACAGGCCCCATTCAGGACTCTGCAGGGCAGACAGGCTCCTGGTCATCACATTCCTATCTGTGCTGCTGGGCTGAAGGAGGCCTGGGAGTCTGTGGAGCTGTCCTATTTGAAACAAGGACAATGCTTGAGATTCAAAGGAAAATCACATATATATTGTGTATTTTTGCACAGGATCAGGGCAACGAGACCCGCACCTCCCTCCTGAGTGGTCAGAGCAGTGGGACCCTCACTTCCCTCCTCTGTGAGTCACAGCTTTTCTACAAGGAAGATTCAGCCTGTTATGTCAAACATTCTTCTGAGCATTGTAGTGCTCCTGTTAGCTAGAACTTTTGAGGCTGGGATGTTTACACTATGGTCATGTATCTCCAAAGAACCAGCATGCATCCCCTCTGCCTCACATGCACACTCTTGGAAACTAGAATCTGTACCTCCACGTTCATTAATCTGGCTGCTTTGACCAGTAGAGCACAGCATGAGCAATCCTGGGTGCATCTTAGAAGACTGTCAGAGGTGTTCTAGGTTTGTCTTGTAAGAGGACTGGCTATTCTCTCTTCCTCTCTCAACTGGAATTCTCAGCTGCCAAGAATGAGTCCCTGCTGCCTCTGTGCATCCAGCCCACTGTGGTCTCCTGGAAACCTAGAGACCTATTCACACCTTCACATCCTTGCAGCTGAGGTGAGGGAGGGCTGGGGTTCTGTGACTATGGGAGCCCCCCAGGCAGGAGCCCCCACAGACCCTGGACTGAGGGCCATGGTCACTACTCAGGTTCTGGGATGACAGCTTGCTCTGTGGCAGAAGAACTTACCTCCAACCACCAAAACCCAAACACGGTAAACTCTGCAGAACAGAACCAGGCTCAGCACACGGGTGCCCAGCATGCCCATCCTCCAGAGCTGCTGGCACAAGAGGGCAGCCCATAGCATGGAGTGGTGGCCCGGCTTCATGACGCCCAGGAAACAGGTGTAGGACACAAGGGCCCAGGACAGTGAAGACCAAGAAAGCAGGGCGTTGATCCCTAGAGGGGGATTGAATAAACACAGTGCTCCTACAGGTTCCGAAGCACACATGCAAAGCACTCTCGTCATTCCTTTGTGGAAACATCTAATTTGTTAAAACCGGTCCAACAGTGGTGTTCTACTGAACACCAGTGGGTAACATACCAACTGTGTGTAAACACACGTTTACACAGGAGTCAATGAGGGGAGGCAGGAAACGTGTCCACTGTCCAGTCCTTACTTGCTCTTCTCTATTTAGATGTTCTGTTACCAAGTTTGGACACTCAATGAGAGGGAAGAGAAAAGGACAGGAAGGGAGAGGGAGGCAGATATGTGTATGCACATGAATACCTATGTGTGCGAAAGAACAGTATGTGTATGCATATGTATACTTATGTATGGGGGGAAGAGAGAGAGAGAGAGAGAGAGAGAGAGAGAGAGAGAGAGAGAGAGAGCGAGAGAGAGAGGGGGGGGGGGGGAGGGAGAGAGAGAGAGAGAGAGAGAGAGAGAGAGAGAGAGGGAGGGAGAGAGGGGAGGTGCCTTGGATGGAATGGGAGTTGGAAACTCATCTGCTGGAGTCTGAGCTTGTTTTCTGAGGGCTTTCAGGTATCAGCTTCACTGCAAAGGGGTAGACCCAGGGGAGGCAGACACATGGCTTCTCTGAGAAGCACTCTTCCCAAGCTGTTTTCAAGGTCATCTCTGCCATGCACAATTTCTGTCTTGTGGACTGACCCTAGATACTTAACCCCTATGAAGTCAGCTCTCTGTGAGCTCATAGCTCTGAGCAAATCCAGTTATAGCCATCATTTGGGCTAGTGAGCACTGGGTTCTCTGAGACTTCCAAGCAGGGGAAATCTTGGAGGGACACCAGGTCCTATGAGGCTGAGCATATATTCCTGCCCTCTGGGAGGGAAGTAGCAAGTCTGAGCTCCAGGGTGAAGGTACCCACCTGGCACAATGTCTGTGAAGTCAGAGGCCAGGAAAGCATATGCCTGAAGCAGAAGGTGGGGCCCCGTCTGCAGCAGGGCCTCCAGGAGCCGGAGGGCTGACAGGTCCACCTCCTGAAGCTGCAGCTGCTCCCAGTGGGGAGCCTCCCCTCCCTTCCACAGAGTGGCCATCACAGCGTCCCAGTGCCTAGAGAAGAGCAAAGACACCCTGACAGGTTGTGTGGACTTCCATAGGCCTCGGCTTTTCATCTGGAGACACGTGGCATTCTCGTGTCCGCTGTATGTACTGATGCCTTCTGAGGCACACCTTGAAGGTTGCCTAGGAAATGGTAAAGCAGCTTGCTAAGACTCTGCAGATGACAAGCTGGACTGATCTGCAACCAACATTACCATGTCCAGGCTGAAGGTGGGAGGTCGTCTTTGAAACGTCTTCTGTCCTGGTGCTGAGGCCCAAGAAAGATGCTTAGGACAAATAGGTTTCCCTTTTCATCATTTGACTCCTGGAGGGAACGGATTTCTCACTGAGTCTTTGAAACCATCATTCCTGACACAAACTTAATTCTAAAAAACACGAAAAAAAATACAGGACGAAGGCAGGCCGTAGTTTTCCTTTTAGCCTTGAACTATTTGTCCAGGATATGGGGTTGTTTCCTCTTCCTGTCTACTACTCCCCAGTCCCACTGAAGACTTCTCAGTTCAGAAAATTTTTTTTTCCCATGCTGGGGATGAAAACTAGAGCCTTGTGTTTTTTAGGTAAGCGTTCTACCCCTGAGTTACATGCCCAACCCCTTCAATGTGAACTTTTATTGGGCTTTGGCCACAGAAAGAATAAAAAAAAATGAAAGATGTTTTCTAGAAACTTGAATTTCAGTTGTAGAAAGTACATGAGCACATGTGTGGGTACACACACACATACACACGCACACATGAAATGCTTAAAATTAGAAATAAAAACGTCTCAAATGAGTGTCTTGGGTAGAGGTGGGAGGGAATCCTCACTGGAGAGACCACAGTGGTCAGAGAGGGCTTTCTGGAGAGAAGAGTGCAAAGCTATGGTTGTGAGTGTGAAGGGTCAGGGGGATGGACAGGGGCTTTGGAATGGGGTCCATGGCTGGGAACAGTGAGAGAGCAGGGAGGAATGTAAGGCTGCAGCCCGCCAGGGAGTGTCTCCCTTGAGGCGGAGGCAAGAAGAGAAGGTGAGTGGGAATGAGCCTTGCAAGTTTTCCGAATTGGGGTATCGGCACCCCACACTGGAGAGAGGGACTCAGACTGGGACTAGTGAGAAGCCGCTGGGAGTCCCTTGGAAGTTTGGGTGAGGTGGAAACCGTGGGGGCTTGGTCACAAGGTCTGTTCTGGATGCCCCGCTCAGGACCCTATTCCCTTGCTGTCCTGTGTCTGGCTGCCTGTGCCACCTCTCCCTGGCGCCGTCTCTCTGAGGGCCTGTTCTGCTCACGGTGTTCCTTTGCTCCAGCTCCCTTCTCTTTGTCCCAATGACACCACTGTGTTCGGCTCTCTTCCCAAGTCAGTCTCAGAGACTCCACTTAATAATGTGTGCCTTCAGTCCCTTAGGGCACATACAAGTTATTCAATGTGTGCAAATAAATATCCAGCCAGTTGAACTGTGTTGCTGATGGACTAAAACTCCTGTGGCATTAAAAACCATGTATGCTATAAACGGAAGCTTGGAAATGCAATTACCTCACTTGACTCAGGTCTCCAGAATTAAGTTTCTCAGAAAGCCCTTATCTTTCCTCATTAACAGGATAAGTAAAAAGCCAAAAATGTCCCAACAGCTAAAACAGTCTATCTTGGACACACAGCTTAGAGAAAAACTTGACTGTTCCATCTGTGGTAATGTTTTTGGTGATGTTAGAGCTGAGTTAGCCAACAGTGCAAGGCTTTGAATATGGCTGTTTCGTATGCTTTTAAAGTTAGTGTGTGTGTGTGTGTGTGTGTGTGTGTGTGTATCTGTATGCTGCACATGTGTGAGAGCACACATGTGATGGTCAGGGGCCTACTTTTCGGAACCGGTTCCCTCTTTTCACAGTGTGTGTTCCAGGGATCAAACTCAGGTGGACAGGTTTGACAGCAAACACATCTGCTGCGGAATCATCTTGCCGGCCCTTCATATGTTTTTAAGCATTAAATCTGCACCCATCCATGCCAAGCTGGTCTTACATGACCTTAAGGTTTGCCTCAACTTCCCTCTTAAGAATGTTTAGCTTCCACTAGAAAAATCACTAAGCCAAGATGCACATTGAAGGGATTAGCTAGACTTTCTTCCATCCTCTCAGGCTGTTTCCAAATAGGTTTGCAGCCTTAAAAAACAAAACAGATGACAAAGATTCTGGTAACATACAGCGCTGGAGTAGAAACAAAATGTTCAGATGGAAAAAATAACTGCCAGTGTTTAAACGAGTTGTAAGTAATGTCAGACTCTCCTGAACAGTAGACTTAACATTAATACAGTTTGTGTTGTTTGGAATTAAAACCAGGATCTATTTATGGTTTCAGCCCTTGCATTTTCTATAAGCGGTTTTACCTCAAGGGGTTTGCATTTTATTGATTTTTGTGCTGTTAGTGGACTTCTGCATTTCATTATGAAGTCATTTAATGGGAGTCAATATAAAGTTCGGGACTGTGCAAAACACAGCTCTTCTGGCTCCCCCTACAGGTGCTTTTGACAAACTGCAATTAAAAAAGAAGAAGAAGAAAAAAAAGGATTCCCAAATCTTTTGCTCAGTCTCCGGGTTCTGTTTGAGAGCCAGTTTCAAAGTGAGAGGTCGATTCATTCCTTCATTTCAGCTTTCAAAGCTTTCTGCTAAGGAAGGAAGCAGATCTCTGTATTCTGGCTGGTCTGAATTCTCAGAAACACTCTGTGGACTGTTCAGGCTGTTATGAAGGAGAGATCCCAATCTGTGGCCTGGTTCTAAACGCTGCATTCTGACCTTACTTCCTGATGTATTTTGCCTTCTTTCTTGAATTTCCTTATTTATTTTTCCCCTACCTTTGTCTTCTTTTATTTTACTTGTGTGTATGAGTGTGTGTGTGTGTGTGTGTGGTGCCCATGGAGGCAGAAGAAGGTGCCAGGCCCCTGGGAGCTGGAGTTACAAGCAGTTGTGAGCCTGATGCACCTTTGTCTTCTTTTATTTTACTTGTGTGTATGAGTGTGTGTGTGTGTGTGGTGCCCATGGAGGGCAGAAGAAGGTGCCAGGCCCCTGGGAGCTGGAGTTACACGCAGTTGTGAGCCTGATGTGGTGCTGGACACTAGGTCATCTCTCCAGCCCCCCACACTTCAATCTTTTCATTCCCTTCACTTCTCTAACTTAATGGAGACTTTGAGAGCCTACGGGAGTTCACCATCAAATACCATGAATCTGCACTGGCCTTGGGCCCCTCCCACCACTTCTCTGAAGAAGGTGCTGGATTAGGCAGGACCCCAAAGTCTCCAAAGAGCCCCAGGAAGAATATTCATCTGACAGTAATTATGGATGTCTCTAATGAATACTCCAAATTCTGTTTTGAGTCATCAAATGCTTGTTTAGAGCGAAGCTGGTTAACTCCTTAGAAAGGCCATCTGTCCTGAAGGTCTCAGGCTGTACAATGAACTTCCTGACTACCAGTGGCCCTTCTGGCCTTATCACAAGGCTGGGCTGGCAGGGATGTGGAGGTAAAGCAGGTCATGATCAGAGGAGGCTGCAGTCCTGAGTTCTGCAAGACAACCTTCATGTGGTCTCCCTGTTGTTTTAGAAGAGCACAGGGCTGAATGCCCAGCTTGGGAGAAACTGCTGTGGCCCAAATGTGTTCTCAGTGCTATTCAGGAGGTCCTGCTGTAGGGGGACCGTGAAGCAGAGGGTGTTGCTTAATGTCTTTCTCAGGAGCACCTTCCACTCTGACCTGAGTCCAGCCTAGGTGGAGATGGAAGGCAGAAGCCCCAGGACAGACAGCAGCGCTTAGCAATGGCCCCTTGAACACCCTTCAAACCCTGGTCACCTGTGGTTTAATAAACACCTGAGCTTCAGGTGTTTTTAATTTTATTAAATCTGATTCCTTATTTCTTCCATTTAATAAAATTTCTCTCAACTCTATGGGATTATGAGGCAGCCAGGAGCTGAAATGTGGTATTTCTGGAAACTCACAGTTCCCCATGCCCAGGTGTAAATAACACCTCACCTTTGGAAATGCATGTAGGCACAGGGAAGCCACCTGGGCCAGAACCATCCATGTCTGCCTTTTATACACAGAAAACAACAAACAAAAAAAACCCTGTTTCCCAGGTCACTTTTTTCTGCTACAAAAGCTTAAAGCAAATGCCACCATGCCAGCCTTACGGCCTAGTTTGTGGTTAATTAAATCTGTGCCACCTTCGTGGGCAGAGGAGGCAGGTGTCAAAGGGATTTGCTTTAAGCGAGCTGCTTCCTGTAGCTCCAGAGGCTGACAAGCAAGCTGGAACAGCAAAGAGACTATGGGCGATGAGAAAGTGTTTGAAAGGTCATGGCTGCCACCAGGAGGCGCTCCCTGATGTTAGGAATGTTCAGGAATGCCAGAGTCAAACAGGGGTGTGACCCTAAACATGCTTGGCCTTAGGGTCAGAATATGTATGGGCAGAAGAAGTCACCTTCCTATAGTGCTCAGGTGGGAGGGGTTGAGCTGTTCTTACCTCTTCCAGACACCAAACTGGAGGAGATGCAGCACCACCAAACACCAGTGCCCCTGATGCCCATCTGCTTGGAACCACAGATAGCTCAGAGCCTGGACGAAGAAGCCAGGCAGGAGGACAGAGAGGGTCAGCCACCCCCAGAGGAGCCGTCCTGTTGTGAAGTAGTAAACCACGGTGCAGAGGCCTGGCGTAAGATAAAGACAGGGTTGTTGAGAGGATACAGAGAGGTTGGGTCTCTGTATTGTAAATGTTTTTGTTTTCTGTATGTCACAATGCTCTGACATCCTGCAAACCTTTCTGTGGAGAGACTGCCTCCCACACTGTTAGCACAGGGCCTTGTGGGACCATGCCTGGGATATGAATCAGAGCTTCCAACCCAGAGCTTCCTCCTTTCTCAGACCCTTGCACCCTGGGAGATATACTTCTCAGTCCAGAGCTAAGGGACTACTGCATACCCCAAACCCCATAGAAGTCATCCACAGAAATTAACCTCCCTAAACTGTTTTCCCTGGCTGTCCTGTCCTGTCCAAGGAAGCTCCAGCAAACATTCCATGCCCACTTCCCCTGACTCCTGGTAAAATGTACCTGCTGTGTGACCCAGGGTGATATGCCCTGTTTCTTGCCACTAGGACTTGTGAGCTTTCTTGAGTTTCTCCTGTGTTTGTTCTTTTTATCCATCAGACTATTTCATTAAAAACCCCAAACCCCAAACCAACCTAACCAACCAACACCACATCCTCATCACCAGCGAGGGGCCAGCAGGACCCCTACAGAAGAGGATAGGCGCAAAAGTGCAGTGTGGTCCATGCGTGCATGCGCGTGTGCTCACATTTGTCTGTAAAACGGATTGGGTTACACACGTGTCAAGTACCTGTGGCTAGTATGTACTCAAACAGGAATGCCACCCTTAGGGGAGGCTGGGGTGATGCAGGGCTAAGCAACACAGAAGAGGAGGCCAGCTCCTGTCACCACACTGTCGTTCCCTACAGACCACCTGTCCTGGACTTGCACTACCACAACTCATCTGTGTCACAGTGATTTTTCCCTTTCTTCTGTTTTGTGGTACTGGGGACTGCGCTCAGGGCTTTCCGCATGCCAGGCAAGCCCTCTACCACTAAGCTGTACCCTCGGTTTACTTCTTTTAAAAATATTTTTATTGGGGGCTGGAGAGATGGCTCAGCAGTTAAGAGCACTGGTTGTCCTTGCAGAGGACCGGGTTCGAATCCCAGCACCCATTTGGCAGCTAACAGCTGTCCGTAACTCCAGTTCTAGGGGATTCTATGGCTTCTATGGTCCTCTGCGGGCATTGCACAGCACAGGTGCATTTACCTACATGCAGGCAATACATGCATACACATAAAAAATAAAAATAATAAACGAAATATTAAAAATTTTTATCTCTTATTTATTTTAAAATTTTATTTTATGTGTATGAATGTGTTGCCTTCATGTATGTAAGTGTACCTGTGTCATGCAATGCCTGCAAAGATCAAAAGAAGGCGTCAGAAACCCTGGAACTGGAGTTACAGATGGCTGTTAGCCCTCACGTGGGTTCTTAGGAACTGAACCCAGGTCCTCTGCAAGAGCAGCCAGTGCTCCTAACTGCTGAGCCATCTCTCCAGCCCCCAGCTCACATCTTTTTGAGGCAGTGTCCTGCTAAGTTGCCCAGGTTAGCTCTGAGCCACAGGCTAGCTCTGAGCTCGTTCTGTAGCCTACTCAGGTCTTTACTTGGGGTCCACCGACCTCACTCTTCCCAATGGCTGGGACTACAGGCCCAGGCCATCAAGCTAGGCTTTCTTTCAAATGGAGGCTTCTGGCTGTGTAACTGACTCTCAGCAGGAAACCTGTGGTGGGACAGCAGGATCCCGACCCTGAGGACTGAGGGAGGGTGGCTGTGGAGGGGGGTGCACTGTTGACACAGGAACACTCAGCCAGTCTTCCACACAGCGTTAATACTGAACCCCTCGGCTCCAAGGCACAGCCGGGAACCTGGCAGCGCCTGGCTGAGGCTAGCCCTTCCTTCCTTGGTCCCAGGTTCTGGCCAGTGCTCTAACGCCCTGAGCGAACAGCTAAACCTTCACCCCTTCCCTTGAAGCACTTCTGGAAGCAGCCATCCAGCTCCTCCAGCGTGCCACCCTGCGCCCGTGGGAACTCTGAGCCGGTGTGGGTCGGTGTTAGGGGGTAGAAGTCACGGAGGGGTCGAGGAGGTGGAGAACCAGGATGCTGGAGGCTCCCGGCAGGGACCTGGAAGACTGGTCCAGGAGGAGCGTGGCGGAAGTGGGCGGAGGCACTCTTCCCCAGCACCGAAAGAGTTACAAGTTCAAATCCGAAAGGCGCGAAAAGTATGGCCATCTTGCTTCACCTCGGCTCGGGGGCTGGGCTCCTCGCAGGACCCGGGTGCCCCAGCACCCCAAACCCCCAAGGGTAGTCAGTGACTTTCAGTGTCCCGCCCCACCCCTCCCAGCCCTCGGCTCCCAAGCGGCCACCCTAGCCCGGAACACCCCGCCGACCGGCGCACCGCACACAGCTCCGCACGGTCCCGCAGCACTCGGCAGGGCGCGTGCTGGAGCAGCTCTCGGGCCAAGGAAGGGCAGGATACCCGATCCACGGCTGGGGTGGGAGGGAGGATCCTGCATCCTTAGGGGCAGCATGCAACCCGGGGTGGGGAGGGGTTCTGCATGGGTGCAGGGAGGGAGGAGGAAATCATGCATCCTCAGGGGAACCCATGAGTGGGTCATGCATCCGGGGTGGGGGTCATGCATCGTGCATCCACGTGCATCTGCTAAGCACCGGCGCGCTCTGCAGACGGGGAAGGGAGTCGCGGCGCTTGCACCCGCTCAGAGGTTGCTTTCCCGCTCAAGTGCTTGCAGCGGGCGGGGTCAGGTGCGCTCCGGCGCTGGGGTGCAGTGGGGTGTTGGAGGGGTGAGCACTCGCGGGCGACAGCCTCGGGCTGCACGGCACTCACGCGCGCTTTGCTCCGCGGCCTGCAGCAGGGCGGAAAGCGCCAGGAGCCCCGCGTGCATCTTCCGCGCTGGCTGACCGCCTGCGCCCGCCCCTTCCCCTGCCCGCCGCCGGAGCCGGGGAGGTTTCCGGCCAGGGGCGCGGCTGCAGGAGGCATTTCGGCCCCAGCCTGGTGCCAAGTTGCTAGGAGGGGAGAGAGAAGGAGGACAGGTCCTCTTGGTCTGTGCAAGATCTTCTGCAAGCTCCAGCTACTTCCTAACCGCCCACTGGGAGGTTGTGAGTCAGGCCCGATGGGTTAGTGATTGAAGTGGTCACCTTCGTAGGCTTGCTGAAAGAAAAGTCCAGTTAGCTACTAGTCAGAGTGGAGTGTGTGTGTGTGTGTGTGTGTGTGTGTGTGTGTGTGTGTGTGTTTAAAACATGGAGGGAGTGGGATTGGGGTCGTTAACTGGGTTTTTTTTTTGAAATCTTCCAGTTCAGTGGCCAGAAAAAGGTGGGTATGCCGGGTGGCATCTCCCCCGTTAGTTATTTCGTACCAGTTGCTGTCATCACAGCAGCTTTCCCCAGGTGGCCCTGAGGGTTGGTTCAGATCCCTGTGTGCCAGAGGTTAACCTCCACCCGGGGAGTCTCTGGGAGAGGAGAAAGCATCATCCTGACATTGTTAAGAGTTACAAGGCAGACAGTTATTAGGACCATGGCTGTGGATGTGAGGACATCATGATACAAGGGAAGGTGTTTGCAGCGGGAGGGAAAGATTGCTCTGAATTCTCAATGCCCAGGGGAAAAATGGAGCTTTACAGCCATCAAACATAGTGAACCCAGGTGGAAAACTTCTAAAAGGAGATCAGGCCAAAGGAGATTCTGCCTAACAGGACCTAATGTGTTTTTGCCAAAGAATACAAAATACAGAAATTAGGACCAGGAATAAATGCCATTCATGATCGTGAGGTGGGGTAGTGGCTTTCCAATACATTTTCCAACATTTCAAGTCTCAGGAACTCCCCCATCTCCTAGGTATGATTTGAGAAATCGGTATGTAGCCCCTATTTCGTGTTAAAACAGTCCAGGGTGGGCACCAGGGCTTAGTGGCTGAAGATGCTTCCTGCTGGACAATGCAAACTCAGCCACCTGAGTTTGATCCCCAGAACTCACAAAGGTGGAAGGAGAGAATGGACTCCACAAAGTTTCTTCTCTAGAAACCTTATGATTTCTCTTTTTACTTTTTGTTTTGACATTTTATGAAGACGTTTAGATGTTGATCTTTTTAAAAATTAAATACCTGTTTGACATTTTGTAGACGTGTTCAATTGTGAAATCAAAGCTGTTTTGGTCTTTGGGGAAATGTCCACTGTATTTTTTCCTTGTTGCTCATTTAAAAAAATTGTTGCTTAAGAATTTCATACACACAGTGTGTTTTAATCAAATCCACATTCCACTACCACTCCCAAGCCCTCCCCGCCACCTGCGTCCAGCACTTTCCTCCCGACTTCATGTATTCTTTTCATAACCCACTGAGTCCAATCAGTGCTGCCTGCGGGTACCTGTGTGTAGTGCCATTCTCTGGAGCATGGGTACCCTCTCAGGAGTTGAATCTCTGAAGAAAACGGCCACTCTCGCTCCCTAGCAGCCATGGATTGCCAGTAGCTCCTCAGGGAGGGTGGGACTTCATGAGCCCCTCCCCTACCCATTCTGGAGTTTTGGTCGACTTAATATTGTGCAGGCCTTGTGTATGCAGTTATAGACACTGAGTTTCTGTGTGGAACTTCCCTGTCATATCTGGAAAACACTGTTTCCCAGAAGCCTCCTACTACCTTTTCTCTTTCAGCCGGATCTTCCCTGATGTTGTCTGAGCCTGGGGGTGGACACAGATATCTATCCCCTTTAGGACTGAGCACTCCACTGTTTTATTTGCAGGATGAATACCAGTTGTAGGTGTCAGTAGTAATTGTTGCCATCTACTGAAAATAAAAGCTTCTCTGATGAGGATTGAGAGCTGCACTAATCTAGGGGGATAAACATAAGTATGCCAGGGGCATTTTGACACTATGTTCTTTTAGCAAATAGTAGTAGGTTCTCCTCTGGAGCCCAAGATCTACCCAGTCATGGTTTTGTGGTCTGATAACAAGCATCACTTCCGCCTTGAGGATCCAGCCTTAAACCCAACCAGAGCGTGTTCTGTTACTCCTATAACATTCTTGCAGCTATTGAAGTTAGGAAGGTTACTTTGTTTTTAATTAATTTTTTGAGAATTTCATGCATGAGTGCTGTGTTTGCATTGTCTTCACCCCCCAGTTCCCCCACCTCTTCCCATGTCCCTGCTTCTCCCTCACAGCTTCCTGTTCTCTTCTTTAATTATTATTGTACACATGCATACATACATTACATACATACATACATACATTTATGACATTTATAAACATACACACACACACGTAATGCACTGAGTCTATTCAGTGGTGCTCATGTATACCTACTTGGGATTAGATAACCTCTCAGGGAGCTCGTCCCTGGGAAAATGGATTCTCCCTCCCTCAGTTGGTTGTCTGTAGCTCTTCATCTTGAGGTAGAACCCTGTGGCTATCCCCCATCCACGTTGGCATGTCAACTTGTTTTATTATGCAAATCTTGTTGGGCTGCCATACTGTGGACATTCCATTGGTGTAACTTCCCTATCTTGTCTAGAATGTATTAACTAGTAGCAACTGTCTTGTCTCTCTGGCTCTTTCCATACCCTCCTCCATGATGTTCCCTGAGCCCTGGGTGTAGAGGTTGCATTGTAAATATATGACTCAAAGCTGGGCATCTCACAACAACTTATTCTTTGTATTTGACCAATTGTATAACTTTTAAAAATATTTTATTTATTATTTTTATGTTATGTGTATGAGTGTATTGCCTGCATGTGGGTAAGTGCACCTGTGTCGTGCAATGCCCGCAGAGATCAGAAGGTGTTGGACCTCCTGGAACTGGAGTCATAGATGGTTGTTAGCTGCCATGTGGGTGCTGGGAATTGAACCCGGGTCCTCAGCAAGAGCAGCCAGTGCTCTTAACTGTTGATCCATCTCTCTAGCCTCCAGTTATGCAACTTTGCAATAGTCTCTGTCTGTTGCAAGAGACCTTTTTTTTGTGTGTGTGTGAGTTGTGAGAGGTACAGTTGCCTGTAAACATAAGGGTATGTATTTAGAATGCAGTAAGAAATTACACTGCTCTAAGTAGATGAGAGAAGTAGGTTCCTCTGTAGAGTCTATGACCTCTCCAGCCATGTGAACTTGGCTATTTTTACAGCACCATGCATGGATTCCCTCTACTGAGTGGGCCTTGAGTCCTATTAAACAGCTGTTGATTGCTTCCATGATAAAAGTGCCACTGTTGCACCAATAATTGCTCTTCCTTACTGTGGTTCATAGATTTTACAGCTAGGTAGGACCATTGGTTTTCTCCCTTAGCAGCAGATACTATGAGAGCTAGTCTTCAGGGAAGAGGCTTCCAGGTCAGTTCCAATTCAATTGCTTCAAGTCCTACGTCTGAAGTATGTCATGTCTTCAGCAATAGGGTCTTATATTCAAGTTCTGGGAGGCACTTAAGTGCTGTGGCAATAGCCTGTATTATTCAGGGAGTCTCTTGGACTACACTGACCAACAACTTAAAGGGAAGTTTCCCTTGCCTGGCTCTGTGATTTTTGTTATATAGCCTTCAACTATACATATGCACTCACATGTATATTTTCAGTAGGCTTGAGAAATAATACATTTCCCTTTGGGTTTTCATACTCCCTGAACGTTATTTGTATCTCTTCCCCACCCCAGTATAGCCCTCCCTGCTCCCTCACCAGTTAAAGTCCCCCCTCCTCCAGTTTCCTCACTTCCCCCTTGATAATGCTTGTGTCCTACCACCCCCCTCTCACAAGCTCCTTCTTTCCTTTTCCGTCCCATGGTTCCTTTCTATTTTCCCTGCTCCCATGGTTACTTCAGGAAATAACGCACATCTATAAGATTGAGAGAACGAACATGTGTCACTTGTTTTTCTGAGTCTGGGTTGCCTCATTCAGTATAACAGTTTTTAGTTCCATCCGAGGAACTGAAAGTCTTATTTTTCTTTATAGCTGAAAAGGATTCCATTAAAAAAGATGTACCACATTTTCATTATCCATTCATTGGTTGAGGGATGGTTGTTAGCTAACATATGGGTTCTTGGAACTGAACCCTGGCCCTCTGCAAGAGCAGTCAGTTCTCTTACTGCTGAGCATCTCTCCAGCCCATTGAACTCTTTTAAAGGCATTTCTTTACCATTTTAATTTCCTCTTTTGATAACTCTCTGTTCAAATCTGTAGAGAAAAGGCTAGTTTCTGTGATTTCTGTGGGCTTTGGGTTCTAGGGTGTTTCTTTGCTGCCTGCCCCCTAATCCTTGGATGACTAAGGCAAAGGAGTTTGGTCTCCTGGATTGTATGGTCTGACGGAGAAGGAAGCTGTAGGCTAGCTAGTTTGAAAGTGACAGTCTTTTGGAGGGGATTTTCTGTGCTCCATGTAAGAACGGGTTGTCCCTGGGCTAAGCATTTTCTATCTTTCCATGAAAGTTTTGTAATTTGTCTTTACCACCTCAGGACATCATAATATGTAGAAAATATAACACACAATGTGAATGTTGAGGAAGAAACATCTGCAGTGTTGGTGAGCATTATTCAGTCTGGTCTAGGACTTCACAGAGTGAAACCTGATTCTTTTTTTTTTAACTTAAAAAAATTTATTTATTTATTTTATGTGTATGAGTGTATTGCCTGCATGTAGGTAAGTGCACCTGTGTTGTGCAATGCCTGCGGAGGACAGAAGAGGCTGTCGGATCCCCTGGGACTGGAGTTACGGACTGTTGTTAGCTGCCATATGGATGCTGGGATTCGAATCCGGCTCTTCTGCAAGAACAACCGGTGTTCTTAACCACTGAGCCATCTCTCCAGCCCTGAAATCTGATTTTTAAGGAGAGAACCTTCTTGTTGTTAAAGAGAAATTCTTTCCTGAGTGCCCACTTGCCTACTTCTCTCATCAGCCTTTCAGCTCACCTAGCCTCCACA